TGATGAAGCTTGGTACACATATTCGCTCCATAAGAAGGTTAAGTTCGAAGATGGCCAAAATCGGCCCACTGCCACGCCCACAAAATGGCGGAAACCGAAAACCTATAAAGTGTCATAACTAACCCATAAATAAAGATATTCAAATTAAATTTGGCACAGAGGATCGCATTGGAAGGGGCATATTTGGACGTACTTTTTTTGGAAAAGTGGGCGTGGCCCCGCCCCCTACTAACTTTTTAGTACACATCTCAAAAACTACTATAGCTATGTCAACCAAACTGTATAGAGTCGTTTCTTTTAGGCAGTTCCATATACAGTTTAAAAACGGAAGAACGGAAGAAGAACGAAAGAAATGTTGAAAATCACTAAAAGTGCGTTAACCGACCAACAAAAAACGTCAGAAACACTAAATTTTAGGGAAGAAATATCAGGAGGAAGCTGCATCCAGGCCTTTTTTAAAAATTRAAAATGGGCGTGGCGTCGCCCACTTATGGACCAAAAACTATATCTCAGGAAGTACTCGACCGATTTCAATGAAATTCGGTATATAATATTTTCTTAACACCCTGATGACATGTACCACATATGGGTGAAATCGGTTCGCAACCACGCCTGAAATCTCGATTATCACTTTATCATGCAAGAGTATAAAATGTTCGGTGGCACCCGAACTTAGCCCTTCCTTACTTGTTATTATTTGGCTATGTATTGACATTTCCAATTCTTCTCCATTAATATTTTCTGCAAATACCTGAATTATTTAAATTATATTTAATATTTACCGTATTGGGAGTTTCCCTTCACTTTTTCTCTCATACATTTTTGATGTCATAACGTCTCGAGCAAATCCAAAATCTGCAACTTTACAAGTGTGTTCATCAGTAATCAGAATATTCCTTGCGGCCAAATCTCTATGAATTATCTAAATAAAGAAAATACTTAATATTAATCAATTAATATAATATATATAATATGTACATATGTATATATACAAACTCGCATGTAACCGAACATTTCATACCTTCAATGGCAGAGAAATAATTTTAGGTGTTCGTAAAACTTCACTGTAAGGTAAACAAGTTTGGGAGTAAACTTTCTTACTATATATCGGTATTTTGCTTGAGACGATTGTCTTTTAGTCTCGTCTCAAGCAGAATACCGATATTAGTCGCGTATTGAGATCATTTTATTAATTTTTTCCTTCAGAAAATGATATCACCACCATTATTTCTGCTTATCACTCACAATTACTGGTATTAATTAAATTATAATAAATATGTTACAACCGTACTATGTATATTACTTTATTGTGAAAATATTTTTTAAAATTTATTTAGTTTTTATCTATCTATTTCATCTTTCTTTTCTTTTAAGTGTTATTATTTTTATTAATCAGTTATAAGTTTTTACTGAGCCTTTACAGAAAAAGACGTCCTTACTAAGGTCCCTCACCCATAATAGAAGGCTATGTGGCTTTCTTTGTTTTTTAAGATAAAACATCGAGCTTTTTACGAATCTTACAAAGAAGCTACATTTTCTCTCTTTGTCAGACGACGAATACTAATGTGCGATAACGGCAAAACCTTTATTGGGGCCCTAAGTGCCACTAACAAACAGTTTGTATGTTTTATTATGGTCGGTTTATGGTAATCAGCTGTAAAAAGTTGTTAATCCCACTTCAATAMAGTAGATGAAAACAAATGTAACTATGAACCAGAACATCTCAAAGGAGTACATATGCCAGCCTTCCCTGGTCCAGGCGAGCAGTTGCTATCCATAGTGAACCGATGGATGAAAAAAACTCCTCTTCATATACATAGATCAATAGGATTCCGACAGTACCCACGAAAACATAGAAAGCAACCACTAACGTGCCGCGCCCAGAGGCAACTCTAACGCTACGAACCCTAGCGGCAACCGACACAGAAACCACTCCTCGTAGCGGCACCCAACCACTACCRCCGCTCAACAAAACTGCATGGATTCGGCCTATTTACGTTTGTAGGTGACGCCGATGAAATATCATATGCAGCTGCATTGCCTTTTTTGTTGCTACTTTTACAGTACCGTGTACAGATCATCAGATCCTACAGTTAAGTCATTACGATTATTTTATGTT